GTTTAAAAATTAATGAATTCATTCAAAAACATTCACTGAGTGCCATGCCCACTGTATGTCAGCACTGTACTAAGTGCTGGGGATACAAAGACGCATAGGGCAGGGACTTTCTCCCCAAGAAACTTTCATACTGAAAGGAGAAAGATGGATGTTGATGGGAAAACATATGTGAGAGCTATTCGAGCATCTATGCAGCAAGGTAACAAGGTGAGGGACAGGGGTGATAAAGTAGAAAATGCGTGGTAGGTTAGAAAAGATTTGTAATGGAAGAGGCACCACTTGTTCCTTTTGAATTTGTGTTCCTCTTAAATGACAGAAAAAGGTAGTGAAAAAATCTGATCTATCTGGTGTTGTAAATAAATTAGTACTGTACTCCTAAAACTCGTTCACAGTTACTTTCAAAAGATTGTCACAGTATAGTAAGTCTTTGTTTTGGGCTAAGTCTTTCTAATAGACAAAGCTAATTTGATTCAGGAAACATTTGCCATGGTGAGTTATAAACTTTATTGCATCTCTTTCCAAAGGCTAGCCACCAAGGGAAGATGCCACCCTCAAGTTAAGTTATTTTACTACCTATAATGACATATTACTGGGGTGTTTATAAGTTGCCTGCCTTAAATAAGTTTGGGAAAGGGCCCCAGCTGAGGTGGATTTATCATGAATTCAATGAAGCTTAGGCTTCAGGGCTCCTCACTTGCAGAGGTCCCTTCCAAGGTCTTGAGGAGGGTCCTAGCGATTTTTGTATTCACAACTTTGCATGTTTTTATTAGATAGGATTTTCCAAAGTAGATGAGGTTCAGGCCCCACAAAACCTTGATTCATCACCGGGCTGCAGGTAATTAAAGTCAGTAGGTTACTGGAATGAAGCCTCTCTGTTATTGACAAATATCAGGTGAAGTAGTTAGCAGTGTCGTAGTCTATTTTATATCCGAATTCAACCTCAAAAATGAGCCAAGAGCTTATTAATTACTAAAGTACCACTTTTTGAATGTTGGTAGTAATCATATCTCTTTCAGATAAAATCAGGAATGAAATATATTATGGAAAACCAGCAGTGGTTGATAATCCTAAATGTTACGTATACTTTTTTTTCTGACTTTAAAGTGTTTCTCCTTCATTCACCTGTGAAGGTCCAGACTGATGGCTTATTTTTAAAAATTCTTTTAGTCACTTCATTGGTTCTAACAATACAAGCTCCATGATTTTAGAAACTGTAGGACTCTACAATGTAGAAAGGCTATATAACTTAACCAGAAAGAGCACATTCACATGCTGCCTTCTCTGTGGTACATTAATACGGTACCAAGGGCTTCCCTGGTGGTGCAGTGGTTGAGAGTCTGCCTGCTGATGTGGGGGACGCGGGTTCGTGCCCCGGTCTGGGAGGATCCCACATGCCGCGGAGCGGCTGGGCCCGTGGGACGTGGACGCTGGGCCTGCGCGTCCGGAGCCTGTGCTCTGCAGCGGGAGAGGCCGCAACAGCAAGAGGCCCGCGTACCGCAAAAAAAAAAAAAAAAAAAAAAGTAAAAATAATATGGTACCAAGAACATAAGCACTAAGAGAGAATAAGGGGAAAATCAAAGCCTTATCCCTATTGGATTATTTACCTCATTATTGAGAATATCAATAAGGGAGGTGTGGTCACACTATGAAGGCAAATTGAGCTGCGGTCACAGACCGCACTAATGCTTCCCCAGTCAGCTAGCGTTGGTTTCCTTTAGATAGCTATGTACACACAAAAGTTTATACACTTCAGGGTGCTGTCATCACTTTTTGCTATGTACTAGAATCCTGGCACCTTCTCAGATTTAGAAAAGCATTAACACTAAAAAATAACTTGGGTCTGCCCTTTGGGGTGATTCAGGGTGGCTGTTTTATTTGTAATAGTTCAAAATTTTGAGATTGTCACACCTAGCAACTACTATGCTTTTCTTCTCCCAACTGCCTCTTATTCTTCCCAACTGTAGTATTTTCTCCCATTCTATATGTTTTTTCACCTGCTTGATAGTGTCCTTTGAAACACAAACTTTTTAATTTTTATAAAATCCAATTCATCTATTTTTCCTTTGGTTGTTTGTACTTCTGGTATCATATCTAAGAAACTATTGTCTAATGCAAGGTCATAAAGATTTACTCCTGTGTTTTCTTCTAAGAGTTTTATAGCCTTAGCACTTACATTTGGATATTTGATCCATTTTCAGTTGATTTTCATATATGGCGTGAAGTGTAGGAGTCCAGCTTCATTATTTTGTGTCTGGATGTACAGTTGTCCCAGTATCATTTGAAAAGACTGTTCTTTCCACATTGAATTGTTTTGGTACGCTTGTTGAAAATCAATAGACCATAAATATGAGGGTTCATTTCTATACTGTCATTTCTGTTCCATTGATGTACATGTCCTGTCTTATTCCAGTACCACACTGTGATTGCAGTAGCTTTGAACTGAGTTTTGAAACCAGGATGTGTGAGTCCTCCCACTTTATTCTTTACCAACATTGTTTTGGTTATTCTGTTTCCTTGAATTGCCATATGAATTTTAGAATTAGCTTGGCAATTTCTGGAAAGAGGTCAGCTGGGAGTTTGATAGGAATTGCAATGGAACCATAGGTCGATTTGGGAAGTAGTGATATTTTAATAAGATTATCTTCCCGTCCATGAATCCAGAATGTCTTTATATTTATTTAGATCTTCTTCAATTTCTTTCAACAGTTTTGTACTTTTCAGTGTGAATCTTGCACTCACTTGGTTAAGTTTTTCCCTAAGTATTTTTTTTCTTGTGGTGCTGTTACACATGGAATTGTTTTTTTTCTTAATTTCGTTTTTGGATTACTCATTGCTGGTGTGTAGAAATAATATTGATCTTATATCCTACGACCTTGATGAATTCTTTTATTAATGCTAACAGTTATTTTCCTAGATTCCCAGGAATATGTCTTGTGGTCTTCCAGTTTCCCAGGAATACATTGGCACATTTCAAAGTCTCTGTGGACATCTCATTCCTCAGCTTCTCTTTTTAAGCTTTTCGGTTGGGCTGTTTATTGCTCCAAACTGTTATCCATTGCCTTATGCAACCGCCATGTTAAAATATTTGCTTGAAAACGTTTTCCAGAAATGCAACCTGAGGAACGGCTTTTCTCACTAGACAGCGCTCAGTCAGGTCAAAGGGCAAGCCTTTCAAGTGAGGTCTTCCAGGGGACCACCAGACATGTTAAACAATGACAGTTCTTTGGGAATGAGGCTTTGAAGGACCTCCCAGTCCATGCTTCTTCTTCTGGTACCAGGGATGTGGGCTGTTTTTCAAGACTACCACTGGCATGGAGAGCAAAGGTCAAGGACAAGTTCAAGCAACACAGATCTCATTGTTCTTACAGAAATTAATTTGTTTTCCTTGAATAAATTGCTCCCCAATGTGCAGTAAGCCTGTTGGTTAAATCTCCAGAGTTCAGAAGAAGTTGATTCTGATTTTTGCCAGTTTTGTTGTTGTTGCTGTTGTTACTGGTATTGTTGCTTCTATGGAGGGATGAATTTTCAGATGTCCTTCCTCCATCATTTTTACTGATTTTCCTGCAATATTTTTTTAAAAATCTCTAAAGTCTCAATGACCATAGGCTAATTAAATATTTGTCATGGGAGATGATTAATGAAAAAATAAATTAAAAGATAAATACTAACTAAAAAGAGAAAATATAATTCTCATAGAGGCTTTCCCAGATGGGTAGATGAAGACTGAAGAGGTATTTCTATATTTAGTGCTCTGAAAATTAAGGTTAAATTAACATATGTTTAACACACCCCCACTTTTTTTTTATTCAGGTTAAACACAGGCTTTACAGTCAGAAGTGAGTTCAAATTCCAGCTCTGCTTCTTACTAACTTGATGACTTAGGACTAGTTATGTAACTTCTCTGTGCCTCAGTTTCCTCATTCGTACAATGGGGTAATATATCTATCACATAAGGTTACTGTGAGGATTGACTGCTAAATGCTGATCACAGATGCCTGGCAACCCAAAAGTTATTAGTTTCGGTAATTATCTTTATAAGATTCTTCAAAAATACGCTAATAATTCTTGAGTAGAGTTAACCTAAAGTTAGATATTCTTTTCTTTCTTCCTGTTTCTTTTGGTCTTTTTTCCCCTGTTTGTTTTAAAGAAGTAAGAAAAAAAAAAAAAAAAGAAGGAACTAAGAAGAAAATCTATTCCAGCATTTTGGAATAAAATTTTGTTCCCCCAAATTTATTTGTTTATTTTATTGATATATAAACAAAATTTTATTTATTTTTTCAGCAAACATTTATCAAATACCTAGTAAATATTAGGCACTGTGTCAGGCAGAGGAATAAAAATGACAATAAAGTGTTATCCCTGCTCTCAAGTTGCTGACTATCTAGGGGACTGACAAGTAAACAGGTGATTACATACACAGTAACAAAGGCTGTGATAGAAGAATACACATGGGACTATGTGATGGGAGTATGGCTTTCACCAGTTCCTATTGGATTTATCTCTCCTTCTTTGGCTCCAGAACCAAGGAATTAGCCCTATTTTTGTCTTTAACTGGGTAGTTTAAATCATGAAATTTTAAAAAATTTGTCGAGATGAAAGAAAAACACCTTGAATTATGGAGGACACTAGGAATAGTACTTTTTTACAGAGCAAGGGCTTCCTACCAGCATAGGCACTTCTTGGGTTTTTAACCTGAAAAGTTCTTTGGCATATTTTTTCTTTGCTAGCTAATTTTTTTTTCTATTTTTTTGTTTCTTTCTCTTCTCCACTTTATCATCTGGAGACCTGGGTAGTTCCCAATGAAAGAGTGTTTTACAGATTCTTAGAGTGATTTATAGGTAAAAATAGAAAATGATTTTTTTTTAACCTTCAAGTTCCATACCAAAAAAAATGAATATAAGCTTTCATGGAAGTAATTGAAAATGCAGATAATTTTAATTCCATTGCATTTTTCAGAATTCTCAATCGTAATCCTTTGACAACAGGTAAAGATTCTTATCTTTTAAATTGCCAGCATTAAAATATTTGTAAGTATTGCAACAGTTTCATGGCTCATGAGATAATTTCTGCTCTTTTTTGCTTTCGTCAAAGATTGAGTACTTTGGCTGAAAAGTCATAATTTAGATTTTAACTGGGTTATTGAAAATAAGAGTTATTGGCAAAGAAAAGGATTAAGGAAGAATATATATGGGTAAGACAGCCAGCAGAGAATGAGAACAGTGTTGAAGAACACATATAGTTATGAAGATGTAGATGCATGTAGGAATATTACTTATCCCAGAAAGCAAAAAGGAATAAGGGGTACGTTATTTTATTAAAAAGAGTGATCAAAGAGGTAGATGCAATTGAAAATGAAAAGTTAGGATAATAAACAATGATTGTGCTGTTCAGCACCATGGTCATTAATTTGATGATGCAAATTTAAATTTCTTCAATAAGAGCTTTTTGGAATTATCATCTATGGCAAGTAAGAAGCCAGAATTGAAGTAATCACATGTTAAGTATCTTTTTATGTTTAGAATTTTTGTCTTTGGGTTTTATATCATGCATGTTTGGGCTTCTCCTTCAGAGACATGGGAACAACACAAGTGTCACTTACAACTATTGAAAGCATCGTCATGATGACCCTTGAATTGGAAAAACTGTAAGTTGATTTTTCTTACATTTATTTTCACTCAATTGTTTTTCTTTAGTTTCTTTTATTATTTTCTTAAGTCAGGTTTATTTATGTATAATTTTCATTTCACAAAATTCACTGTTTATAAATATACATTGTGATGTGTTTTGACAACTTATAATTCTGTAGCCACCACATTTGAGGTAAATAAATCTTCTGCACTCCCAAAAGACCCCTCATGTCCCTTTGTAGTCAATCCATCCTCCTCCCACTACCAGCCCCTGGCAACCAACAATCTGATTTTTTGTCCGTATAATGTTGCGTTTTCCAGAATATCTTATAACTGAAATCATGTGGTATGTAGCCGTTTGTTTTTGGCTTCTTTCACTTACCAGTCTCTTTGGAGATTCATCTGTTTTGTTGCACCTGTCAGTAGTTCATTCTTTTTATTGCTGAGTAGTATTCTACTTGTGTGGAAACACAGTTTGTTTACACATTCATCGTTTGATGAACATTTGAGTTTTTTCTAGTTTTCTGGCTATTATGAACAAAGCCTCTGAAAACACTCACATGTGTGTGTGAACATATATTTTGTGCAAGCATATGTTTTCATTTCTTTGGGGTAAAATACCTAAGGGTTGGATTGCATCATCATATTCTAAGTGCATATTTAACTTTTTGAGCAACTGCTGAACAGTTTTCTAAAGTGCCTGTGCCATTTTGGTTTCCCACTAGCAGTCTATGCGAGTTGCAGTTGATCCACATCGTCACCTGATCATTATATTTGTTTTTAAAACAAATTTAGCCTTTCTAGTAGGTGTGTAGTTGCATCTCGTGGTTTTTGCCACATTTTGCATTTCTGTAATAGCTGATGATGTTGAGTATCTATTCATGTGCAAGTATCTTTTTAAATGAAGTGTCTGTTAAAATCCATTTTTAATTGGATATTTATATTGAGTTTTAAGAGGGCTTTATATAAAAAGCAATGGAAAAAGTCCTTTCTTTCAGATATGTGTTTAGTAAATATCTTCTCCCAGATTGTGACTTATCTTCATTGTATTAAAGTGTCTCTGAATACTAGAAGTTTTAAATGTTCGATGAAGTCTAATTTAGCAATTTTTTTCGTATTGATTTAATTTATTTATTTGGTTGTGCTGGGTGTTAGTTGCAGCAGATGGACTCCTTAGTTGCGGCTCATGGTCTTCTTAGTTGTGGCATGTGAACTCTTAGTTGCGGCATGCATGTGGGATCCAGTTCCCTGACCAGGGATCGAACCTGGGCCCCCTGCATTGGGAATTGGGAGTCTTAACCACCAGGGAAGGCTCTTAGCAATTTTTCTTAGATGGTTTGTGCTTTTTTGTGTCTTATCTAAGAAATCTTTTTCTGAGACCCCATTGTGTAATCCAAAATCATAAAGATTTTCTCCTATGTTTTCTTCCGGAAGTTGTAGAGTTCCATTTTGGTCTATGATTCATTTTGAGTTAATTTTCATATATGTTGTGAGGGAAGGGTCAAGTTTCTTTTTTTTTTCCGTTAAAAAAAATCTATTTCTGTAATGAACTATTGTGACAGTTCATTACACAACTTACTGCACCTTAAATTGTACCATCAGCCCTCCAGTATGGCAAGCTAATAGAAAGTTTTTGTTATGCCAAGGCTAGTGGAGGGGATTGCATGAGATTAGTATGTGGAAAGAATCCTGCATTTAGCAGTCTGTTCCAACCATCTTTGTCAGGTCAGCTGACAAATGACTGTCTTCACCACGCCATCACACATTGGTCACTGCTCTAGCCTCATCTTCCTCAGCCTCCAACAGCATCTGTCACAATTGTGATCCCTCTCTTGTCAGCTATATGTCCTCCTCTCTGGATATTAAAAATTATTTCCCGGGGCTTCCTTGGTGGCACAGTGGTTGCGAGTCCGCCTGCCGATGCAGGGGAGGCGGGTTTGTACCCCGGTCCGGGAAAGATCCCACATGCCGCGGAGCGGCTGGGCCTGTGAGCCATGGCCGCTGGGCCTGCGCGTCCAGAGCCTGTGCTCCACGACGGGAGAGGCCACAACAGTGAGAGGCCCGCGTATGGCAAAAAAAAAAAAAAAATTTATTTCCCTATGTAACTACAATACTGTTAACACACAGTATTGAAGAAATTAAATTCCTGCACAATAATATTACCTAATAAAGAGTTGCTATTCAATTTTCCCCAATTCTCTCTCATATAATATCATTTCTTTTAACAGCTTTTTGAGGTATAATTGACATACAGTAATCTGTGTTCACACACACACATACATACACACCATGAAGACATCACCACAATCAAAATGTCCATCACCTCAGAAAGTTTCTTAACATTTCTTCGTAATTATTGCTTCCAGTCTTTCCTTGCCCTTTCCAGTCGCCATGCAACCATTGATGTGCTTTCTGTTTGCATTTTCTAGAATTTTATGTAAATGGAATCATGCAGTGTATACTTTTTTCTAACTGGCTTCTAAGCTCAGCATGATTATTTTAATCTTCATCCATATTTTTGTATTTATCAGTAATTCATTTGTTTGTTGTTGAATAGTATTCCATTATACGGATGTACCCCAATTTATCTATTCACCATTGATGGACATATGAGTTGTTTCAGTCTTTGTCTATTACAGATAAAGTTGGTATGAATATTTGTGTACAAGTCTTTGTATGGATATATACTTCCATTTCTCTTGGGTAAATACCTGCAAGTAGAATGGCTGGATCATTGGTAAATGTATGTTTAAGTTTTTAAAAAATATCTATTTTCCATAGTGGCTTGATCATTTTACATCTCTACCAGCAGTGTATGAGAGTTGCATCTTCTTCACGTTGCGGCCAGCACTTGCTATGCTCAGTATTTTTAATTTTAGATAGTTTAATAGGTGTGCAATTTTTTCTCACTCTAGCATCCCTAATGATTAATCTTGTCAAACATCTTTTCATATGCTTATTTTCCATATGTATATCTTTGAATCTTTTATCTATATTTTTCTGGAGTTTTGAGAGTTCTTTATATATTCTTGAAATTAGTCCTTTATCCAATGTGTAAGTTGCTAAGTGTTTTCTCCCATTCTGGGACTCATCTTTTCATTCTCTCAGTAGTGTCTTTTGTAGGGCAGAAATTCTTAATTTTGATGGTGGCTAATTTATCTATTTTTTTTTTATGGATTATGCTTTTGGTGTTGTATCTAAGAAATCTTGCCTAACTCAAGGCCATAAAATTTTTCACTTGTTTTGCTCTAGAAGTTTTATAGTTTTATGTTATACATTTAGACCTTTGAACCAATTTGAGTTCATTTCTGTATATGGTTTGGATGGAAGTTGTTGTTTTTTTTTTTTTTGAACCTGGATATTCAGTTGTTCCAGCATCATTTGTTGAAAAGACTATCGTATCTCCTCTCAAATGCCTCTGAACCTGAAAGTCAGTTGTCCACATCTCTGTACTTCTGAACTTTCTATCCTGTTCTTTTGATTTTTTGCCTATCTTTACGCTACTATCACAATGTCTTGAAAGTGTAGCTTCATAAGCCTTGAAATCAGTTACTGTTAGTTCTTCAACTTTGTTCTTTTTCAACGTTGTTTTAGTTATCGTAAATTTTATTTCCACATGAATTCTAGAATTAGGTTTTCAATTTCTATAGAAAAGCCTACTGTGATTTTGATCTATAAATCAGTTTGGGGAGAATTGATGTCTTAACAATATTGAATCTTCTGATCCATGAATACATTATATCTCTCCATTTACTTAGGTCTTCCTTAATTTCCCACAGCAATATTTTACAGTTTTCAGTGTGCAAGTCTTTTACATATTTTATCAGATTTATTCTAAGTATTTTATACGTTTGATTCTATTATAAGTAGTATTTTAAAACTTTGATCTCTGATTGTTTGTTGATATAAATTAATCTTTTTGTATGTTGATCTTGCACCCTGCAAACTTGATAAACTCATTTATTAGTTCCAGTAGCAATTTTGTAGATTCTGTCAGGTTTTCTACATAATCATGTTATCTGCAAATAAAGATAGTTCTACTTCTTCCTTTCCATTCTGAATATGGCTTATTTTTTGTTGCCCTATTGCACTGGCTAGAACCTTCATGCAATGTCAAATAGAAGTAATGAGAGTAGGCATCCTTGCTTTTGTCCTGATCCTGGAGAGAAAGTACTTTGTCCTTCACCATTAAATATGATGTTTGGTGTTTTGTAGAAGTCATTTATCAGGTTGAGGAAGTCTCCTTCCATTCCTAGTCTACTGAGGGCTGTTTTTTCTTTAATCAGGAATGGATGTTAGATTCTTTTCATTGTTTTCCTGCATCTATTGCAATGATTATGTCATTTTTCCCTTCTTTTCTTTTCTTAATTTGTTTATTTATTTTTGGGCTGTATTGGGCCTCCATTCCTGCACGCAGGCTTTCTCTAGTTGTGGCGAGCAGGGACTACTCTTCATTGCAGTATGCAGGCTTCTCATTGCGGTGGCTTCTCTTGTTGCAGGGCACGAACTCTAGGTGAATGGACTTCACTAGTTGTGGCACATGGGCTCAGTAGTTGTGTCTCACAGGCTCTAGAGCACAGGTTCATTAGTTGTGGTGCACGGGCTTAGTTGCTCCGTGGCATGCGGGATCTTCCCGGACCAGGGCTGAAACCCATGTCCCCTGCACTGGCAGTGGATTCTTAACCACTGCCCCATCAGAGATGTCCTGATTTTTCTTTTTTAGTGTACTAAGTTGGGTAAATTGATTTTCAAATATTAACCCAACTTTTCATTCTTGAGATAAACCCAATTGGACATGATGTATCATCTTTTTATATAATACTGGATTTGATATGCTAAAATTTTGTTAAGAATTTTTGCCTCTGTGTTCATGAGAGATACTGGTCTATAGTTTTCTTGCAATGTCATTGTCTAATCTTGATACGGTGAAAGTTGGCCTTATAAATAAGTTGGGAAATATTCCCTTCTCTTCAACTTTCTGGTAGAGTTTGTGTAGAATTGACATTATTTTATTCCTTAAATGTTTGGTAGAATTTATCAGCTAAGCCACCTGGACTTGAAGCTTTCTTTGTTGGAAGGTTCTAAACTGCACATCCAATTTCTTTAATAGCTGTATTCTATTTTTTTTTTTTTTTTTTTTTGCGGGGCCTACTCTTCATTGTGGTACACCCGCTTCTCACTGGATGTCTTCTCTTGTTGCAGAGCACAGGCTCTAGGTGCATGGGCTTCAGTAGTTGTGGCACACAGGCTCTTGAGTGCAGGCTCAGTAGTTGTGAGGTACAGGCTTAGTTGCTCCGTGGCATGTGGAATCTTCCCGAAACAGGGACCGAACCCATGACCCCTGCATTGGCAGGCAGATTTTTAAACACTGAACAACCAGGGAAGTCCCTATTCCTGTATTCTTAATCTTTATGTAGATCCATATTCCAATCTGATGTCATTTTTCTTCTGCTTGAAAATACTTCTTTTAACATTTCTTAAAGTGAAAGTCTACTAGTAATGAATTCTTTCAGCTTTTGTATGTCTGAGACAGTCTTTATTTTGCTTTTGTTTTGACATATTTGGGTATAGAATTCTAGCTTGATAGAATTAAATTCACTACTTTAAAGATGTTATTCCACTGAGTTCTCATTTACATTGTTTCCAACAAAAATTCTGCTGTCATTGTTATCTTTGTTCCTCTGTATGTAGTGTATAGTTTTTTCCTCTTGCTGCTTTTAAATTTTTCTATTTATTGCTGGTTTTGAGCAATTTGATTATTTTTTGTGCCTTGGTGTAGTTTTGTCCATGTTTCTTATGCTTAAAGTTCATTGATCTTCTTGACTTTGTGGCTTTATAGTGTTTACCATTTTGGAAACATTTTGGCTATTATATCTTCAAATGTTTGCATTTCTCCTCTCCTTCATGGACTCTAAGTACACATGTATTAGGCCACTTGAAGTTGTTGCACAGCTCACTGATGCTCTATTAAGTTTTGTTGATGTTTAGTTTTGTTACTCTTTTTGTTTCATTTTGGATAGTTTCTCCTACTATGCCTTAATGTTCAGTGACCCTTTCTTCTGCAGTGTCTAATCAGCCATTAACCTTTCAATATCTTTTTCATTTAGACATTGCTTTTAATCTCTAGAAGCTCAATTTTGGTCTGTTTTACCTTTTCCATGCCTGTACTTAACATTTTCAGTTTTTAGTCTAGGTTTTTTCACATATGAACTACAGTTATAATAACTTTACTTCAGGTATAATAACTTTTTAAATGTTCTTTTCTGCGAATTCTAACATCTATATAGGTTATGGGTTAGTTCTCCTCACTATGGGGCATATTTTTCTACTTCTTTGCATGCTTGGCAATTTTTCATATGATCCCAGATATTGTGAGTTTTAGTTTATTGTGTGATATATATATTTATATTCCTATAAAATGCTTGGGCTTTGTTTTGGGTGAAATTAAGTTACTCAAAACAATTTTATTCTTTTAGGTCTAGCTTTTAAGATTCGTTGGGTAGGAGTCCAAGTAGCCTTTAGTCTGGCGCACGTTATTTGCAACTACTGAGACAGGTCTTTTCTGAGTATCATGAGGTTTTCCAGTCTGACTTGTAAGAACAGGTACTATTCCTACAACCTTGTGTGATATCCAGTTATTCTTATTATTAATCCTTTCATGTGGTCCTTTTCCTGGCATCAAGTAATTCCTCCCACAAATGTACTGACAAATACTTTGTTGAATTCTCAAGAGATCCCTCTGCATATCTGCAGACTTCTTTGTGCACTTCTTTTGTCTCTGATACTCTGCTTTTTTTTTTTTTTTTTTTTGCGGTACACGGGCCTCTCACTGTTGTGGCCTCTCCCGTTGCGGAGCACAGGCTCCGGACGTGCAGGCTCAGCGGCCATGGCTCACGGGCCCAGCCCGGCATGTGGGATCTTCCCAGATCGGGGCATGAACCGTGTCCCCTGCCTTAGCAGGTGGACTCTCAACCACCGCGCCACCAGGAAAGCCCTGATACTCTGCTTTTTGAACTCTAGTTACCTTGGTTTTCCCAGACTGTCAGCTCCATTTCGTCAGTTCGGGAGTCCACCAGTCTCTGCCTGGACTTCTCTTCCCTGTACCATGATCTGGAAACTCTCTCAGAGAAGTAAGTTAGGGCAATTATAGGGATCACTTCATTTATTTCCCAACTCATGAGGATTACTGAACTTTATTGCCTGAGGTCCAGTTTCTTGAAAAGTGTTTTTTCATATGATCTGTCTTATTTTTTCATTGCTTCAGGTGCAAGGTTAAATTGGTCCTTGTTACTTCATCTTGGCCAGAATCCAATAACATTCCTTAAGTGTGTTTTGCTTTGATACAGGGTCCAAATAAGATTAGGCATTGCATGTCTTGTCTTTGTTTCCTTTAATCTACAATATTTCCCTGCTATTTTTTTTCTTGGTCTTTTATGACATTGGCATTTTTGAAGAGGCTAAGCCAGTTGCCTTATAAATTGCCCAACAATCTGGATTTGTCCGTTTCCTCATTAGATTCAAAGTAAACTTTTTGAGGAAGAATACTATATAGGTGATGTAACCTTCATACTTCATCACTTCAGGTGGCCCAGTGCTAAGTTTGATCACTTGATTAAGGTGGTATCTTCCATATCTCTCCACTGTAAAGTTATTTTTCCCCTTGGTAATTGAAAAATCATATGTGGGGTGAAAGTGTGGAATCAGTGAAGATCCTACTTTCAAACAACTCTTCACATAAATGTGCATCAATGATAATCCTTGTCTGAATCGATTATTACATTGATAGTTGCCAAATGACACTTTCCTAATTCTATCTTTCCTTTTCCATTTATTAGCTGACATTATTCTATAATGAAGAGCCCCCCCACTTTCATTTTGAGTATCATTATGAACTCATGTGCTTTTTTTTAAGTTAAGTATGTTATAACTTATTATAATGATAATGTTATTCTTTGGAATGTTCCTTTTGTCCAGATTTGGCCAAAGCGACCTCTGTTATTGTTTAACCACACGATGCTTTTCTATTACTACTTTTCTATTACTAGAATAATTTCTAATATATTACTATTCACAAATAGGACCTGAGAAAGGGACTCCAGAAGGTGCGGTCTTATTCAGACTCTTCTTAGAAGTGTGCCTTCTTCCTGTGTACTCTCAACCCAAAGTGAGGCTTTCGGGTTGGAAAGAGATACTTCGGATTTAAACTACAGATCAGTGTCACCCAATGCTAATCCCTATTCCCTTTTTTCGAGGCATACCGTACCTACTGCCATCCTAATCCTTCTGTTGGGCACCTCTCTCCTCCTCTATATTTATTTACAACAGTCAAGAGCAGCAATTGGCCAACCGGCCCCTATCCAGTTCTGCAGTCCATATGCCCCAAGAACTTCTTTTTGCACTGGTCTGTGGTGGCCTTGGCCTACCTCTTCTACCTTCTCAAGTAACTCTTTTACCACGAATTTAATTACCTGTGTTTCCATTTATAGGATCTTACCTAGCCGTATGGCCTGCTGCCTCTGCCAATTTAAAAATACCATTGAGGTTGTCTGAAAGACAGTCCAGCTGCGTTGTGACAGTGAATGCCTGACAGACGTCACACGTTGTGGTGAGTCTCAATTGTGGGATAATAAATTTTTAATTATTTAATATTTTTATTTTTAATCAATGATGATAAATGTTAAAATTCATGATGTAATTGCATTATTTCAATTCATACTTTCAGAGTTCCAGCTCCCTAAGTTTCTAAGAACTACCCCTTTGCTAAAAATCAGATTCTTGTTTACATTATTAAGCTAATAATAGCTCAGTTACATTGTCAGCTTAATAATGTAACTGATCCGCATACATAAAGGGACAAGAGAAAGGAATGGATGAGGGAAGGGAATTAACATTAATGGCTTCATATCCTATGCTGTGCTCTGTGCAAATGAGAACTTATTGATATAGTACATCACAGTTTATAAACTGATTTTATATACATTAGGTCTCAAGTACCCTTTGTCTTACAGGACAGATGTAAATATATTTTTGTTTGTTTCTGCAGTTTTATAAAGAGTACAAGTGATGCTGTTTTATGTCCTCTTTGGAGCCTGAGAGTTTCTGGTTCCATAACCAGAAGCTGCTACCTAGCCCTTCTAATGGAATGGAGAGCTAGTTTATTCTTTGGCTGTCAAGCTCTGAACTTGCTCTGAATCTCACGCTTTTCTATCCACAAAACACTCAGGGGCTTTCAACTCTTTTTCTATATATTAGATTTATTGGCACTAAGTATTTGAAAAGCGCGCGTGCGCATGTGCAAGCGTAGTCCGCTTGCGCCCCGAGCAGCGCACGTGCGGTGACGGTGGATTGGTGCAATTGGTACTTTTTGCGCTTCCCATCGGGGGTGACAAAACCTTGCTGGTGTGGGAGCTGAGCTCTGGACCCACCCCCGAGGCTTTGCAATTGAGCCGAGCCGGAGGGGAGGGAAGGGTGGAGGAGGCCGCCCCGCGCCCCAGTAACTGGGCGCCCCGGGGTACTGCTTCAGTACCTCATCTGCCTGTGGTCTCCGCTGAGAGGAATCTTAGTTCTAGAGACGACCTGAGCAGTCAGCTCGCCCCCATAGATTTTTGAGAGTTAGTCCCCAACAGAAGGCATTGCCTCCTAATGCATCTCGAAGCTTAGGATTTCAGAGGGAAACTTGTTCATGAAATGAGAAGTGTTTGGAGTAGCAGGCTCACCACAGTTACCTGTGGCGAAGGGCTGGGGGAATATAAGGGAATGGGCGGTTTGGTTTCCTGGGCCTGAAATTTACTGCACTTTCTTAGTGTGAGACCACCCTAGAGCATTCTCTGTTCACAGTCTTCTCCCGGTTTGGCCTTCTGTATTCTGTCTGAGTCTTCCCAAACTCAGCAGTGGGCTGTCCTGGGTTCTCTGCCATCATCAAGTTTTATTCAGCAAGGGATGCCCACAGAGCCCAAAAGGCATGGGACCAGAAGCAGCTTTTTCACACATCTCCAGTGAAGGTGGGTCCAAATGTGGAATTCCTCGCTCTACTGGGATGAAGTGCTGAATTTAAAACTAATAGGCCATCTGGAAATCCCTGGTGGTCCAGTGGTTAGGACTGTGCACTTTCACTGCTGAAGGCCCGGGTTGAATCCCTGGTCTGGGAACTAAGATCCCAAGGGGAAAGAAAAAAAAAAAAAAAACGACTAGCGTTTGTACAGCACTGCGGTGTACAGAATGCTCTCACATGCACTGCTCCACTGATCCCCCAGTTCCCCAGTTGTTTTTTTCTTTTATTTTAGATGAAGAAACTCGAACTCAGGATGGTTAAGTGACTTACTTAAGGTTCATGACAGTAAATGTGGAAACTAGAGGCCAAACCCTAACTTAACTGATGTTAAACCCCATGTCATTTTATGCTGCCCCTTAATTTAAGAAATCTTCACAAGAATCTTCCTTATATATACATTTATGTGGATTTTAAATGTGTGAGGTTGACAAAAATTTTTTAAATTAATTAATAAATTTATTTATTTATTTTTGGCTGCGTTGGGTCTTGTTGCTGCACGCCAGCTTTCTCTATTTGCGGCAAGCAGAGTTTGCTCTTCGTTGTGGTACGTGGGCTTCTCATCGCGACGGCCTCTCTTGTTGCGGAGCACGGGTTCTAGGCATGCGGGCTTCAGTAGTTGTGCCTCACGAGCTCTAGAGCACAGGCTCAGTAGTTGTGGCACACGGGATTAGTTGCTCTGCGGCATGTGGGATCTTCACGGACAAAGATCGAACCCTTGTCCCCTGCGTTGGCACCCAGACTCTTAACCAGTGTGCCAACAACGAAGTCCCGAGCTTGACAAACTTTTGTCAGATGTAACATAAAGGAGGCTTCATCATCCTCATCACTCTCAAACTGCCTATTAAGAACTCACTTCAGATTCCAGAAAATGGTTAAATATTCTTTAATGCATTGTAGAAACCTTATTCCATATTAACATGCCATCCAATTTTAGTTCCCCAGAATTAACATTTCATTATGTTAAGGACCTTTTCAATTCCTCTGAATAAGTGAGTGAGGCTTAGATTTCCCAGACCTTTCCCTGTATAATTGTGTGTCTTCTCTGATTGGCTTCTTGCTCCAGCTACTTCCTCCTGACCTTGCTGCCTCTTCTCATCCATATTTCTTTACTCACTGATTTCACCTTTATTGAATCTGAGAACTCTCCTCAGATGTGACTCCAGGTGCAGTACCTCCCACTTCTGTACCCTGTTTAACACCCTCTTCAATCCTGGCTCTAGTCCCTGGGATTGAAATGATTTTGTGTCAGACATTCTTTAATTTGCGGACCCTGCTACCATTTCACGTACCACTCAGATATTACAGATGGTCCTGGAAAGATTATGCAACAGTTACTTGGTATCAATTGTGAGTAATGAGTTCTTTTCTTATATTGGACATTAAGACCATTCCATAAGTGTAGGTTGTGAGGTTTTCACAGCATAAAGCCCGTCACTGATAGAGTAATGAAGAAAATGTTCTCCAAGTCACTATAGAGTTGAGAGGAAAGGGCATTCGTATTAGATTTCTTTATTTAATGCAGAGCTTTAGTTTACTACCCACAACCCCAAAATTTTTCCCTACTTTACTTATGCGTTCTTTTTCAATTTTATTTATTTATTTATTTATTTGGTTGCACCGGGTCTCAGTTGCAGCAGGTGGTCTCCTTGGTTGCGGCTCAAGGGCTCCCCAGTTGTGGCATGTGGGCTCCCCATTTGCAGCAGGCAGGCTCCTTTAGTTGTGGCTTGCAGACTTCTTAGATGTGGCATGCGAACTCTTAGTTGCAGCATGCATGTGAGACCTAGTTCCCTAACTGGGGATTGAACCTGGGCCCCCTACATTGGGATAACGGAATCTTAACCACTGCACCAGCACGGAAGTTCCAATTATGTGTTCTCTTATTCATTGGCAGGTATCTTCCTATCTTTTTCTCCTGTGTTTTTTATAAATACAGAAAAGAGAATAACATCTTAAAATAAAATGAAGGAAAGGCCTAACGTATCTGAGTTTTTCTCAGTAGCACGAAGGGAAAGGTTTGCCAGCAAGAACTGTGGCAAGGTTATCCGAGATGTCAACTGTCTCTACTACCCAGTGGCTCAGAGCCCTTCTGAAGACTCCTAATTGTCCAGGACAGCTCCATTATGACTCACCGCACAGGACATAGCCTCCCATGTGACACTCAACATTTAAAAATTAGTCTTCATTTCTCCTTCCCTGCAGGCAGCTTCAGTTGGAGAAAGTAACTTCATGTTCTTATGTACTCATTCCTTCACTCAGTCAACAGACCATCACTCCTCTATTATATGCCAATATGTATTCTTCTTTCTGGTAACAAGGAAAGAATAATATATGGTTCCTTCAAGCACTTAAGGAGCTCATAAACTAGTGACTGAGGAAGATGCAGAAACAAATCAATAATGAATTAACAGTGCTTTGACTTTATTTGTATTATTTGAATTTTTATGACTAAATTTATATACTACACCCTGTTCAAAATGGAAATGGACCTTTAAGAAAGAAGTAGTGATGTAAAAAATCCACAGTAATATGTAAGTTATTTAGAGAGTTAAGACGGGAAATATTTGCACTCTCAAAGAAGCTTGTTAATGCAGATGAACCTCTAATTCTTTTCGTTGCTTCATTTACATTTATAAAGGTACACATATTCCCTCTTCTAACAGGGGTTAGTAACTTGGGGAGGGGGTGCTACAGGTTCAGGTCCTAATTCAGTGGCAGGTCTGTCTTATCTCCTCTTCAGGTCATATTCTCAAGCCAGAGCTACAGGATGAGATGAGTAAAACACTCCATGCCTTTGCTTACCCCCAGCCCCATCATAGGCTTTTGCTGGGCTTCCTTGGTTGCTTTCATCATCACTTTCACCACCGGATGTCAGGGAACTTTCTGGTTAATCAGGGGCCCTGGAAATGATGCAGAAAAGTACTGACTTAAAAATAATAAATAACATTTATTTAGGGCTCACTGTGAACTCATTGCTTAAAATGTCCTACTTAATCTTCACAACCACTCTATAAAATTGGTATTGATAAATCTCAGGTATATCCAAAATAAATCTCTATGTAGGGTTGTGATATTTTTAGGTCTTTTATGTCTTTAGGTTTGTCTCGGCACCAGATAAAGGCGGTTCATCATAATATGCTTGCCCTAAACAGCTCCAGATGCCAAGAATTGGCAAATTACTTCTTTGGTTTCCATGGGTGGTCAAAAAGGATCATCAAGGTAAACTCTGTAGACTTTCTTTGACTAACCAGACTCCTTTCAACATTGAACTCCTAGGCTTTAGAGAGAAGAATAGAACAGGGCTATAGGGAGGAGATGTGGGAGGCTTCCACATGGAAGTATCTGAGCATTGGCCTGCCACTTAGAAATAGTGATAAACTCAATGACTTGGATGGTGGTGTCCATAATTTTCTCCAGTATTTGTATGGTATATCATAAAAAATACTTGTCCATATCTAGTCATTCATTTGCAAGTCTCAGTTGATTTTGAAGGGATAGCATATCTAAACTATTACCTGGGATTACTGGAGTTTAGTTTTTATTTCTAACAACAGAATATGTTGAAGTCTAGCCTTTAATTCAAAATCCTAACAGCTTCAGGATCTTTCCAACCTTGAAGAAAGGGAAAATACAGATATTGTGACACCACTTCAGAAGCAAAGCCTGAAGTTCTTCTGTGCTTTAGAGGTGGTGTTGACTTCCCACAAGTGCAGGAGTCCCTGAGCTGGCATGGCTGAGGAACCTTTGGATAAGTTGGAGGAAGGTCTGTTTTCCAGTATCTGTGTGTGTGTGGGGAGGTGAGGCAGTGGGATTTCTCTTTTTTCCTTTCTTTCTGAAACTCAACTTTTCAGATACATCCTCACCTTTTCTAAGCAACTAAAGCCCTGGGCAGAATTGTTCTGCCCGATAATATAGGTTTTTATCTTAGGCAATACCTGACAACACCTTAAACTTTAGAATTTTAGAACTCGCTGCCTGCCAAGAAGCTTAGGAGGAGGGAAAATTAGTTATTATTATTATTATATTTTTGGTTAATAATTTGTTTTGTGCTAAAATAATCCTTGAAATACAGATGTCTTCTGGCCTTCAGTTATCCCAAAAAAATCATTGTCTGAAGATTGAAATAAACTCATGTGTAAATGTCCAGTCCTTTGCCTCCTATAGAATGGCCTGAGCAGAAAAATAAATGTAGATCCCTAGAAAGGGGATTCTCATTGATACTGAGATTTTTCCTAGATTCCATGGCACTTGGGCTTAGGGTTTTAAGTCAGAAGCAGGGCTGTTAGCGAATGGGGTGGAGGAGGCTCCACTATTCACCTGAGTGGGTGATGGTTGAGTAGAGTCCAGATCATCTGCACTACAACCAAATCTGTCTCACTGTATGAGTCCAGCCCTTGATGCAGAGGAGAGCAGGGTCTGTAGCAGTGCAGCCTCAGCTTCTCCATTTGAAATCTGTGAGTAATATGAGATTTGTGCCACGTTCTTGGTTTGCATTTCCCGTGTAGTATTTTAGGAACTTCCAGAATAGATCCGAGCCGTAAAAATGTGCCATGCCAGGGTATACCTAAAACAGAGACATTCACCCGTAGCCCAGTGTTGTGCCTGCTTTAATCACTAAGGTAATGATCTAAGAATCACAGATGCATTTTTAGTTTTAAACACATAACCTAGAAATCAGTTATTCATATAGGCATTTTAAATTCATCTGTTTTGGTTGGATTTAGGGTCATTATCATTCCTTATGAGAAGGAAGATAACCCAGAAGCTTGCTGTTCAGAAAGCTATGACAGATGGATTCCAGAAATTGCTGATTGTGGTTTTAGGTAAGACCTTTTTGATTGTCGTTGAAGTGCTTCAGTTTCAGTGAGCAAATAAACTTATTTGAAAAGTTAATTGGATGAAAATAATGGTTATCCAAAACATTACAGATTCTTTCATTCACCATATGCTTTCACAGCAACAGTCTTAAATTTGTTCTTTGTGGCATTTATGAGAAGAACGACAGCAAATATTATTGTCCCCAGTGTTTAGATGTAGAATGACTTGCCTCAATTCATACAGAAAGTGTTGGATCCAGTTCTTCCTCAGTTGCTTGCTTATCATACAGAGTAGTGTAGTGATTATAAGCCTTGGACACCTGTGTTTGAGTCCTACCATTGTCTCTTAGATTTTGTTGCTGTTGTTGTTGCAATTTTGGGTTTTTCTAGCCAGAGACCTTTGAAGGTATTTAATATCTCTAAGCTTCAATTTCTTTATCTGCATATAGGGTTAGTAATTTAGCTTACCACCAAATGGGGGATATTGTAAGAGTAAATGAGATGATGAATATAAAAAGCTTAGAACTATGCCTGAAACATAGTAAGCAGACAAAATGTATTGACTATTATTATTACCGCTGTTTTCTTGTTGAAGGGTTTATTTCTGATATATTGGGTGAATATGATTCTTATATAATAATCGGCTAAGTTTTTGTGAGCCTTGAAACTGGTCATGCTATTGAATAGCGTTGATTGTGTTCCCTATCCAGTTATACAGCGGTGAGAATGTCACAGGCTGTGCCCAAAGGAAACTTTATGATTAGTAGATTCCGGCAACAGAATTGCTCCCCTGCTTCACAGCCCTGCAGGCTTAGAGACTGAGAAATCCTAGGTAAGTTGTCAGCGACCTTATTGGCTTGTAAGAGTTGACCCTGGATTGGACTTGGCCTTCCAGCCTGGGCAGCCCTTCCAGTGAAGTTTGACTATCTGGTCATCAGGCACAGTCTCCATCCGCTGTCAACTCTGGGTAACAACCTTTAAGAACCAAACTAAATGCCTGAGTTGTTTGTGCCTAATATGCCAAGGTACTCCTTATATGTACACAAAACCCCTTAGACCAAAAATCCTGGTGGCTCTAGCTTGCCTTGAGGAAAGCTGTATTGTCCAAAAGGTACATGGGCCAGTTTCTGCCAGTAGAGTGTTCAAATGCTCTGTCTGTCTCTGTCTCCAAAGCTTTGTTCATTGTCTCTGGTAGAATTTTGGTCCCAAGGAGTAGGCACTTGCCTTGCTTCTAATAGGAAGTATCTGTTATAGTCCAGTGGTATCTCTCCCAGGTTTGAACTCACTTTGACCCCCACCTAATGCCTTCCTATTTAATTGTATTGTGATTGAACATTTTTGTTTCCACGGCTTTAAATTTCTATGTCCTTATTCCTTAGTTCTTATTTCTAAGATCATAAAGTTTTTGAACCAAAGTTGATACTTGTTATATACGTTTTCACATATAATTATAATAAAAACTGACGAGTCAGATGAGGGAACTTCTAGGAAAATGCTCTTGTTTTCTGCTTTTAGAAGTCAAAAGAATGTCTAATTATTCGGTGCTACCACAGGAAGTTTTAGAACAAGAAAACTTCTGAATTGATCCTTGTTAACTTTATTACAGAAAGTGGTAAAACAGCTGTGGCATATAGACCCTGTGAAGAGGTCACAGATGCTAGAACCGAAGAGGAGCTACAGGATTTAATTCAAGTATGTGGAGATAAAAGCTCAAGGGGTACACGGCCAGTGTAGCCATAATTCAAAACAACCAGCAGGATTTGGAAGACTTCAGCATGTCTACTCAGCCCTGTCTTCCTTAGGAAAAGGTGAAACTCTGAAAGTGCTTTTGAGGCAGGGAATTTCTAGGACTTTTCCAAGTCCCGGACCTTGTCTCTGGCCCCATATTTGAAGTTTGGAGAGCAGGATTGAGGGCCACCAGTGTACGTCTATGGTTGTGGACACAGGAGAAGACACAGGCCTTTTAGAACTCCCCTCAAATAGAATTGCAGGGACTTGGGAACAAAGTAACTATGGTCTTAAGTGTGATTATGCTACACTGTCTAAAAACTATTCATACCTTTCAAGTAAGGTATATTACCCAGATCTCAGCATCTCCTATGTATCTTGTGTTAAATATTTTGCCAAAGAACCTTTCTGTAAAACAATTATACGGATGCCTCGAATTACGGATTAAGTTGTTAACATAATTTCTGAAAGAAAACATTAATGTACTGCATATAGGATTTTTATTTAAAAGGAGCAAAAAATGTGTTTCGTGTCATTGAGAGCTTAATTTTTGGCTAGATTTCTGATTATTTAACTCACCCCAATGTTGCAAAGTTTGTTTTGAAGGGAAGAAAGTAGAGAAAGAAAAGGTGGTTATGTTCTGAAAAATTTTGAAAGTTTTTTCCTGTACAAAATAATTATTTTAAATCAATTTAAATCAGTCAAGGGAACTTGAAACGTATCTATGTTTGGGCTTTAAGAAGACTAGTTTCCTATGAAATGTGAGAGGAAAGGGTTCCGTATTGATACTAAAGATTCTGCAAACCTGATTATAACAACAGATCCACTCCTAAATGAGGCCAATTTTGGAATCAGTTCCATTTAGAAACCATCATGTGCTAGGCACTGGAAATAAGGTGAAGCTCCTTCTCTCTTGGAGTTTAGGTGTTAAAGGTGTACCAGACAATTAAAAAGGAATAAAATTAAATAGATTATGAAAAGGACTGTGAAGAAAGTAAACTTCGTGCTAGTTAGAGTATTTCAAGAAAATTACTTAACATGCTGACTTTAACATTCTAACTAACTGTCTTCTCCATATGTGCACACAGGGTAGACATCTGAAAAGTGACACTGTAGTTTTTTCTAGATTAATGGCTCTGTTGGGACAAGTTGGGATGGGAGAAGTCTTCCCATGCTAATGTAAAGGGCCATTCACTTGGTTTTAGGCTCTCTTTCCCAGAATGAATCGCTCACCTGCCCCAAACCCCTCCTCCAGAAGTTCTGGAGTCATCACTGATTCAGTGGTGACCCCTAATAACAGAGTGGTGTATGAATAATGAGACGTGAATAGTGAGAGTTTGGAGGAAATGGCAACATTTTCGCATAATTGTAAGGTGTGTCCCCCTCTCGCCACCCTAACTGGTGCTCAATTTGCAGGTCAGCTACTTTTCTTGTCAGCCATGTGACCAAAGGGAGGAAGAATGTCTCTCAGACTTCAGCTTTGAGGAGGAAGAGTTCAGATTGCCAGAACTGGACTACCACTTTTGAATTTCCCAGAATGCCAGTTCCTTTGGTTTCCTCGGGAAGCTCTGTATCCTTCCCTCCCCCTCCACCCCTGGGCTGCTGGAGTTTGGGGCCACTCGGGTCTGCAGCCCAAATCCCGCCTCATTGTTTGGGGCCAGGGAGGGCAGGGCAGGGCGGGGTTGGGAAGAGGGCCCGGCAGGAGGTAATTGTTGCCTTTGCAAGGGGAAGGGTAGCTTGCGCCCTAGGGACTCTGGGAAAAAGGCCCACTCTGGTGGCGCGGATTGGATCTCCGCAGGAGCCTAATAACTGTGGCGCAACTAAAGACTTCATAAATAACGGGAGGGACGTTAGGCGGGGGCGGGGCGCGCGGTTGCTAAGGTGAGCCGTCGCGTCAGCGCTGGCATAGCGGTTCAGCTCGGATGCAGGATGTGCTTCCGGATCCTCCCTGGCCTGGGTCCCTGCCCCTGGAGCCGCCGCATGTTATGTCCCGGCTGCGCCATGGGTTGCCAGGACTCTTCCTCACATGGCAAGGACGGTGGCTTCTAGTCCAGGCAGTTCAGCCTCCGGAGTGGGCCCTGGGCCCCGTCCAGGTGACCCCCAACCCCCCGCGGCTGACAGAGGCTTGGTCTTCACAGTCCTCAGAACCTCTTCCCAAATTGCCCCATGCCCTTACACCCCTGGCAGAAGCCGTGGGCTTTAATTACTTAACGTCCTTGTCTCCAGTCCAGATATTTGCCCCCCCTCATCAGGAGTTGACGGAGACTGAGGTTCCATACCCGGACACGGATTCAGTTGGAGAGATGCCTACAGGGCCAGATCAGTTTGCTGTTCCACATCAGGATCTGAAT